TAAATCCCAAAAAAAGTATAGGACGCCAATAGGCGACCCAATCCACCAGCGTCTACCAATAAAAGAAACGTCATGTCTTGTAAATCTGAAATCTGCATGATAAATCCCAACAAGTATAGGAGGCCAAAAGTGATGTAGGAGGAAAACTGGAATCTGCATGATAAATCTTTACAAGTACAGGGCACCAATGGGTGACCCAATCCACCAGCGTCTACCAATATAAGAAATATCAGTCTTGTAAAGTGGAGAATGGAGATTGTATATGATAAGAATTGAATCCACCTTACAGAAAAAAAAGATGCATTGTATAATACAGCTAGAATGTCTCTAACCTCTGCCTGCACTCTCCCCCAACTCCCATGGGGCGGGAGTTGGGGGAGTGCCACTTGGCCACCTCTAGACCACCAGAGAAAACCTGGGACCAAAAAGATATCCACTGAAGTTATAACAATGAACAATGACACAGGGTGACGACAAGAGAGACATGTGGCTGGCCCTGGGGAAGAAAACAAATGTCCTTGGAGGCCTAATTAGTAATTCATTATTCATCCCAATGAGTTTATTTATTCTGAAGGCTTTCCATAACAATGTCACACTAATAAGCAAAATAATTATGTATTGTGCTATGTAGAAGAGTGAAAACAAAAACCAATTATCTACCTGACGGCAGAGATTTAGCCTGATCTGGATGGGACATAGAAGATACATTTAACTTCCCATCTGCTTGCTTGAAGTCATGCCCCCGTGCTCTTCACCCCATGCATGAAAAAGAGCTATTAGGACTGTTGGTCCTGGCCATTTGTGATAGACAACCCTTGGGCAAGCCTTCTCAGGGGAGTGTTTTGACTGACCGGTTTGGATTTACCAATTCGCCAATCACCATTGCTTTTCTACTCAGATGGGTCTTCCATCCCTATTCCATAGAGCAGATGAGCCTTCATGTTTGTAGAACAAGGTTTGATCACTCATCTAGCAGCCACATTTTGTGTAAAAGCTTGTCCACTATCTGATAGATGAACTAATAATTTCTAGGTATACATACGCAATAAATCTTTGATCAACATTTATTGTTATATAAAATATCCCCGTCAATGTAGTTAGAGTGTGAATATCTATATCAGGGGTGGGCAACTGCGGCCCTCCAGCTGTGACTGTCGGTCTTGCAATGCCTCATGGTACCTGTAATTCCACAACAGCTGGAGGGCCGGAGTTACCCAATCATGATCTATATGGACAGCCTTTTGATCCTCCTATCTCACTCCTGATTGGAAACAATATTCTGGTAGTTGGAGATTATGTGACCAAGACTGCCTAGGCTAGGAGCTTGCAAGGATCCAAATCATCACTAAAGCACTGAATTTAAGCCTGCTAAGGAAAATTTGCAAGAATTTGCTGGATAGCTGGTGTGCTAAGTTGACAAAGGTGTGTGGTTTCCCCAGATAATGCCTCAAGCCACATATCAGCAGCTGCTATGGCTGCGCACCCGCAACTCTGGCGCCAGGGGTCCTGCCAGGAAGAAGAACCCGTGCCCTCTGCCGCACATGGCAACCCCGAGGAATGGTAAGACCCCTGACAATCTAGAACCTTTCTGGTGTCCATTTTGGGATGGATGAAGATTTTACTGATGCTCTGGGAGCCTATTTTGACTTGGATGATATAGCATACTATGTAGAGGCCATGAGAGCCGTAGAGAACCTCTGGGGAAAGTGCATGGGCCTTTAAGTAGACTTTACTATAGTAAAATATACATACAACATTTTTACAGGATCATCATTTCATAGCGAGGCCAACAATGTTTGGGACAACCCTCCTAAACATGAGTGCTCAGCTTCCTTTGTTTACTTCCTGGGTGTCCTTGACACTGCTTGTGAAATGTATAAACTTTTTTGGCTGGACAGTCCCTTACCGTCATACAAAAGGGACGGTAAGGGACTGGCCAGCCAGAAACCATCAGCATGGTCCTTCTTTGGGTGTCCATGATGCTGACCGCATGATGTGTACACATTCTTTTGTACAGTGGTGGGGTCCCCTCAAGATCCAGAAGAGAAGTGACATCACTGCAAGGGGATGGTAGGGGACCGGCCAGCCAGGGAATATCTGAGTTGTTCTTCTTCAGGTGTCCAAAACACTGATTGCCAGACGTGTACACTTTCTATTGTACAGCAACAGGGTCCTCTCAGGATCCGGAAGAGAAGTGATGTCATCACAAGGGGAAAGTAGAGGACCATCCAGCCACCCCTTATCTGTGGGGCCCTTCTTCGGGTGTCCACTGCACTGCCCGTCCAATGTGTCTACTTTCTATTGTACAGCAGCAGAGTCCTCTCAGGATCCTAAAGAGAAGTGATGTCATTGCAAGGGGATGGTAGGGGACCAGCCAGCTAGGGACTATGTGTAGTGCTGGATTAGCAGTCCCCGGCACCCTGTGCAGTGCTGGATTAGCAGTCCCCTGCACCCCAAAACAGCACCAGGATCTGAAGGGGGAAGCTTAGATGAGTATAACTTGCTTTAATAGGTAAAGAGAAAATATGGGTTAGAGAATAATGGAAGGGGGTCATATTTACCCCACAGTGGGGTTTTAAGAGTGCAGATCATTTGTGACTTTCCTAATTCCATGTTTGTTCTGCCTCGGTGTCCCAGACTGCCAGGCAACTAGCATTAGCAACAGTGGTAGCCTCTAAATTGCTCTCAGTACCACTTTCCTTTAACGCTCACTTTTTTCTTTTTTTTAGGGATAAGGCTGAACCATCTGTTACATATTCATTGATATGTTTTAGTGGGAGAGATTACCGCTCACTTCCTATCTTGGTAACACCAGGGCAAGAAATGATGAGAACCGGAGTCACAGACATTGAGAGCAATAAAAACCCTCACGGAGGTTCTATTCCTCATGCAGCTAAATAAAATGGCTTTATTTTTGTAATCAGTGCCCCATTTTAGAAATGTCCCATCACTTCCTCTGCTGGTGACAAACTGTCCCTAGGGAAGGAAGTGAAGTAGGTTTTCTCAACAGTGATGTCAAATCTCTCAGATCTTGCAACTCTTCTATGCTCTGCCCATAAGAGAAAAATGGCTTTGGCTAGACTTGGGCTTTACCTTCCCAAAACTCAGGCCATTGGCCCATTTCTGCTCTCTTGGCCACAGGATGGTCCTTGCTTTGTTGTTCCTTGTGGATATACAGTACATTGAGTACACCTGACCCAGCCTGATTAGATATCCGTATGGATTTCAGATTCCACCGTGTCAACTCCTCTATAATGTTTGCTAAAGCACAACTGTGGTAAGTGTCAAGACATAAACTTCCCCGAAGACTTAAAGGAGAACTATGGGGTTAAGGCTTTTCCCCATAGTTCTCCTTAGGGTAATGGGAGGACACAAACTAGCGTCCTCCCGTCACCCTAGGCTCAGTATACCGCAAGCTGTAGCTCACGGTATACTGAGACGCCGCAACTGAAGCGGATCCCGGCAATTATGTCTGGATCCGCCCAGCTGCGTGACTGACAGCTGGCTCTGCCTATCTAGAGGCAGAGCCAGCTGTACCCGCCCCCTCCCTCGTCCGTTCCGTCAGTCAGCTCTGGCGGATCGGAGCAGGGAGGGGGGAATCCAGCCCCTCCCCTGTCACGGCAGAGAGCCGTGACAGGATCGAGAGGTGAGCGAACGCCGGTATATGTTCGCTCACCTCCCGATCTACTGAGCCGACCTGTGACAGTCTCATTGTCACAGGTCGGCTAGAACTATGAGGTGAGTGAAAAGCACTCACGTCATAGTTCTCCTTTAAAGCTGAACTCCCGGCAGATAGAAAAGACACCAATAATGCAGCTCTGTATTCATTAATACATCATTCAATTGCATTTTTTTTTAATACAAGAAAATAAGACCTAGTTGTGACCATTCCCAGGGCCGGTGGCGGCATTGGCCAGAAGACGGCTTCATGCTCTCTCGTCACCTGGTGATGGGGGAGCATTGAGCCGGCTTCCCAGCCAATCAGGAAACCGGGCGCCGTGTAGTGACGCGTTGCCCGGCTTCATGATTGGCCAACTTCTCGACCAATTAGAAAGCCGGGCAACGCCTCATTACACGTCATCCGACTTCCTGATTGGTCAGAAAGCCGGCTCCATGCTTCCTCGTCATCTGGAGACGAGGGAGCATGGAGACTACTTCCCTGCTAATCGGGAAGCCGGGGCGGCGAGTCATTACATACCGCCTGGCTTCCTTATCAGGACTTCTGGTATCGGCGAGTACCGAAAAAACAATATTGGTACTCGATACCAAAAAACTGGAACCGGTGCATCCATACCCTGAATGGTGTTGGACTGTCCACTTGAACGGACTTCTAAACCTCAATCGAGATCTTGCCTTTTGCTGGTAGCTACAAGGCGAGTGTTAGCCGGGTGGCGCACACCGTCGGCGGGATGCCGGCATTTGCATATTCGCAGAAACTATCTTGTTTTTGGCATACAAGCAACATTTTTTGGGGGTAAAAAACCTTCAGCAGCGCAGTTCTACTGAGACTCTTATTAAACCCATGAGATTTCTTTGAGGCAGGTGGTGACAGGTTCGCTTTATACTCAGCAAAGCCGACCTGCAGCCTCCCATCCCCCCAGCATGCACAGATAACTATGATATAAAGCAGCTATTTATTGCAAATCATCGTGCAACGCCAAACGTGTCTGGCCATGCTGGGATTTGTAGTCCAGCAAAAAAACAACAAAAAACGACCGAGTGGGTCCAGATTTGTTACGGGTCCAGGATTCTACCACTACCGGTCCAGAACGACGGCCCCGCCTGCTATGACGTCACCCGGTATAACGCAGCACTAAGCCTCTCAGCACGTACACCTCCAGACCACGCCCCTTCTCGTCACCGAGCGCTTTTAATGGGACAGCCCACGCCCCCTTTTGGCACTGTAAACCTTTGGTAGGCGCAGAGGGATGATGGGCGTGGTTGCCCCGGGGACACTATACGGGGGCTGTACTTAGATTAGACAGACAGTATCAGCGCACTCGGTGTAGATATGGGAAGTGTCACCGCCTTAAATAGGCTCCTGTTGGGAGGAGTGCGGAGGTACTGTGCCATGGCGGCGGCTGGAAAGGGTCTTATCTTCAGGCAGGTGAGTGCTGGCCAAGAACAGAGCTGGGAGGGGGTGGACCCTTTAAGTGGCAAGAAAAATTGGGAGGTGTTATTGCAGATGGCTAAGCCTGTAGCACCCAGGGCGCCGCTTGGCAGTGTCAGGCACCCGTGCACATTGCTGGTTACCACTCAGACTGAAGGAACTTTAATTAAAAAAACTTAATATATATAAAAAGCCTAAATATTTTTGTTTTGGTTTTATATAAACTCTGGAATGATTAGCACCCCGATCTGGGTTATTGTTGGTCTTTGCATCCCATTGCGATGATTTCCCTTCACTTGCTGCCCCGTAGACGCAACAGGAAGTGAGAGAATCTCTCTCGAAGGTGAGGGAAATCACTTCATTTCCATGACAACAGGTGTCCCCATTAGAAGATTTGCCCTCTTCCTGTTCTGGTGACAAGCAAAATTTTTTTTTTTTGGATTTCTTATCACTTTTTTTTCTGGGGGGCAGTGAACTGCGCATTTTGGTCTGGGGTCTAGGGAAAATATACTTACAGCCGGGGGAGAGGGGCAAGTAGTCACTGCTACAGGACCAAGGATCGGGCGAGTATATCTTCTTTTGTTCCATCTCCTAGAGAAAAACGAGCAGTTAACCCTTGCGGCGCCGGGGTATCCCCACTGCAAGGGTTAACTTTTACAAATCTCTAAAAAGCATGGTGTGCATTAAAGCTGAGCTCCGGCTTCCCCTCCAGTCTTGCACAGTTGTACCGGTGTTCTATCGAAAGCTCCGACTCGTCGAAATCTCCAACTACCTCACTGCCGGGTACTTGCAAGTTGGAGATTTCGACCGGACGGCGTTAGACTGCAAATCACAAAGACTGACGGAGCTTCTGCACAGCGGCATTTTAACAATATTCAGCAGGCGGCAAACCCGACGAGTATTCTGAAAACGCTATGCTCGCATGCGCACCGCAACTGTACAGAGCTCCAGGCTTTCTGGGCACCGGAAGTGAGGTAGTTGGAGATCTCGATGAGTTGGAACTTTTGATAGAACACCGGCTCCTCTCCTGGACTGGAAATAGCTTCCTCTGATGTCACTGCACACTGTGAGACGCTATCAGAAGCTGCAGGAAGTGGGGTCTCTGCAGAGAGGCCGCTGCTTTCACACAGAGGCGGGGCATGCCGCCAGGGGAGAGGCTAGAGGAAACCTCTTGCACTCTTGTTCTTTTGATGCGCCCGGGATGTATTTACCCGATATAAACTGAAAGACCAATCGGGGCTTCGACACCCGGAATCGGCGACCTGCTGCGGCGCCGACCTCTCTCCATGGCAACAGGCTCTGTGTACCGAGTTCTTCTTGGACTAGAAGTCCTCGCACGCCGAGCTCAGGAGCTGTGTCCCGGCTGGGATTTGTACTTCAATAATAACTGAGGCACCAACTCAACGCCTCTTGGACAGGCCTTATGGCTAGTCCGGGGCAATATTTCTGCACTGTCAGCGTGGTGCACTGGCACTTTATTTATTTATTGCACCTCATGCACGATTTGGCACTTTTTTTATTTTTGTAAGTTTTGACCCACAGATTGCTTAGGGTGCAGGTTCCTTCGGGGCCTTTTCCCGACGCTAGGGAGGAGGTTCTGTGCCCTTCTATAGGGTTCTCTGTCTCCTCCCAACCGGGGGGGTCTTTCTTCAGGAGAGCCCCCCGCCTAGTACAGTGAGGGACCTGTTTCGGCAGGTCCCCAAAGGATCGGGGTTCGCCGGCCTTCGGGTTGGTGGACCAACTGTCTCAACCCCTGTCAGGAGCCTTGCGCCCCGGGGGGTCGGGAATCGAGGTCCCTTCTTTATTGAAGGACCAAGCACCCTTGTGCACGATTTTGTGTGCTGTGATTTCACGGTTCACTGTTTTTGTTTGTTCCTAAGAAAAAACCCGTAAGATATACAATAATAATAAAATAAGTAGTAAGAATACATAAAATAATCAGACTAATAATGGAACTGGATGGACCTTGGTCTTTTTTCAACCTTGCATACTAGGTTACTATGTAATTTTAATAATACACACTTGCTGATCTCGTCTGTCTCTGACGCTGTGGGGGAGGGGCATGTAGACCAGGATTGTGGTTTCATGTATTGTGCAAGAGGCAACACTTGCCGAGTGACAGGCGTGCGCACACGTGTGTACACATAGTTTACAATATTTCTAATTCAGCCGAATAATGGGGACACCGTCCGGTATTTAATAGGAACAACAATAGAATCACCTGAATTGTTTGAGCGACCGTGCGGGATAAAGATTTAGGAAACAAACCTATTTCTTGTCAAAGCGAACCTGTCACTTCCCCAACACACTACATGAGCCAATTAAAGCGCACCGTTAGGGCTCATTCACACGGGAATCGGCCGGCACGTACAGCTGCGTGCGCGGCCGGATCGCTCAGCTCCCGGGAAGGACAGGTGCTGAGTGTGATAAGTACGCAGCCCCCGTCCTTCTCTATGGGACTACGCGGCCCTACGCTCACCCTCCCGGTCCTGAAATGTCACTTCTATCCAAGATCGAACTCACAAAATCACATTTCAGGACCGGTCAGCTGTTCCAGGGCAGATCGGTTCTCCTGCACATACCATCTGCGATGCCGATCCGCCCTGGAACAGCTGAGAAAGCGTTCACCTTTTGCTGGTCACACATTCCACCGCCGAAAAAGCGTGCGGGAATACATTAAAATGTGTGACCACGTCAACGGTCACATATTCTAACGCAGTCACAAACTTTGATAGAAAACCGGGTTGCGTTCCTGGCTTCCAGTGACCAAACGCTCTGAAACGCCCTCTTTATGGTGTTAAGGGCACATTCACATTGGCGCAGAGCCGCGTACAGCGTGCGGAAGGCTCTTGTCTATGAACGCAGGAGGTGCGGGTGTGCCGCGCAGCAGCAACCTGTTCAAAATCAATGACGGGCTGACGCATGCAGCAGCTATACTGATCTTACTGCACATCCCATCACTTTGCATGCAGGCAGGGATGGGTGCACAACCCTGGATGCAGTCTGTGTGCGTCTAGGGCAACTGTGACCCTCCAGCTGGGCTTTAACTACAACTCCCAACATGCCTCTGGGACTCATGCCTGTCAGTGTTGCAATGCCTCATGGGACTTGAGCTGGAGGGCCGGAGTTGCCCTGGTCTAGGGTCATCCATCCCTTCCTGCATGCATGTATATGCTCTAATGTGTACAATCAGGTTGTAGCGTGTGTAGCTAGCGTTGTATCTACCAGCAATTAGGAGGGCGAGGGCTTACCTGATTGGATGCCAATTGAATGGACTCTCTAGTTGGGTCCTCACATTATATGGCTTTGTAATCCCCTGTACAGCAGAGCTCAGACTGCTAGAAGAGAGAGACGGCACTAGGAGCTAATCGGGTATAGGACATGCTGAGAAGGATCGTGCTGACAGCAGGAGAGAGCAAAGAGTTGGCCTTATCGGCATTAGTAAATTATTATAAACAATAATGATAAATAATAATAAAATATTAATGCATAATAAATAATCAAACATAATAAAATAATAAATACAGCAAAATAAACAATGATAAATAAAACATAATAAAATGATAAATATTAAATAAAACATAATCAAATAAACAATAAGGATCGTGCGGAAAGCAGCAGAGAGTTGACCTTATCGGTATCCTTTTGCTCCATCACTGTCCAATTACAGCCCCTCCCCTCCCCCAGCAGGTATGAAGTGTTGACTGTCACGTTTCTTCTCCCCCTCGCAGCTCTTCGAGCCTGTCAGCTGCACATATACTTATCTTCTTGCCGATGAGGCCAGTAAGGAGGCCGTGCTGATCGATCCCGTACTGGAAACTGCTAACCGGGACTCAAAACTCATCAAGGACCTTGGCCTGAAGATGGTTTACGCAGGTATGGCGTGATCTGGGCCGCATCCCCCGGGGGGGGGCGGGGGCGGGGCAGATTTGTGGGATAATTTCATTTGATCACTTTTGATGTGAAACTGGAGTTGCCCTTTAATAGGCTCGAAGTATAAAAGTAACGCGATAGGAGATCCCGGCAATTACACTGGGCGGGATATCACCGAATGCGCGCCAACCACCATTAACCCCGCGTATCCCAGAATCCTCCCTGTCTGTGTGCAGTACGTGACTCGCTGGGCTGTAGACGAGGGTCATCATTATATAAAACATTTACATCATACAATAGGTCTGTTATATGAGCGCCAACGCCTCGCTGGAAGACAATAAACTATGAAACGCGTGGACTTTGCTCTGCCAGTCTAGTGGAGTGTTTGCAGAAGTTGATCCTCAGGATTTCAGTGCTAAATATAACTCGCCGCCCCGTGAGCTCCAATACAAAGCCACGAGGAGAACATTCTGACCAATGAGACTTGACATTGAAGAACATTTTTTA